CTTCTTCTTCTTCTTCTTCTTCTTCTTCTTCTTCTTCTTCTTCTTCTCCTCCTCCTCCTCCTCCTCCTCCTCCTCTTCCTCCTCTTCCTCTTCCTCTTCCTCTTCCTCCTCTTCTCCTTCTCCTTCTCCTTCTCCTTCTCCTCCTCTCTGCAAACCCCCCTCCCTTCCAGCACTGATGACATTACCTAGTTGGGTCATGAAACGTCTGCAAGAAAACAGCCCAGCTCAGAGAGCACCAAGGAACCTCACCGTCCTCCTCACCCTCTTCCTCTTCTTCTTCCTCCTCCTCCTCCTCCTCTCCCCTACTTTGATTAGAGTTATGAATTAAGTCAGAATAGCAGAATAATTTAACAATAGAGTTGGAAGGGACCTTGGAGGTCTTCTAGTCCAACCCCGCTGCTCAGGCGGGAGACCCTACCCCCTTGCAGACAAATGGCTGTCCCGTCTCTCCTTGAAAGCCTCCGGTGTTGGAGTATCCGCCGTTTATGGAGGCGGCTCGTTCCAAAGTCACGGAATTGCTCTCGGGCGGAAGCCATTTTGTGGCTCACTGTCGGACTGCCGCTATTCCTGGATCTTTTTCAGCGCCTGGCTGAAGGACAGCCTGGATCCCGTGGTCAGGGCATTGGGTCGAAGGGCTGCGGCCCTAACAGGCTTGAATATCCAGCACCCTTACGCAGAATACCTCCAGGTGGTCAACTACGGGCTGGGAGGCCACTACGAGCCCCACTTCGACCATGCGACGGTGAGTAAACCTGTTGCAAGCCGATTGCATGGGAGAAGAGCTTTTCCATCCTCTGAGGCAAAAATAGCCAGGCTTTCATTTCTAACCAAGGATTTCCCCAAAAGGAAAGAACATGACAGTGATGGGGGGTAATAATATCTCCCTTAAGCACAAAAACCAGCTGGGGGACTTTGGGCCAGTCACCAGGCGACGGTGAGTTCTAGTCCTGCCTTAGGCATGAAAACTGGCTAGGTGACTTTCGGTCCAATCACCAGGAGACTGTGAGTTCTAGTCCCGCCTTAGGCATGAAAGCTAGCTGGGGGACTTTGGGCCAATCACCAGGAGACAGTGAGTTCTAGTCCTGCCTTAGGCATGAAAGCCAGCTGGGTGACTTTGGGCCAATCACCAGGAGACGGGGAGTTCTAGTCCTGCCTTAGGCATAAAATCCGGCTGGGTGACTTTGGGCCAATCACCAGGAGACTGGGAATTCTAGTCCCGCCTTAGGCATGAAAGCTAGCTGGGGGACTTTGGGCCAATCACCAGGAGACGGTGAGTTCTAGTCTCATTTTAGGCATGAAAGCTAGCTGGGTGATTTTGGGCCAATCACCGGGAGACGGGGAGTTCTAGTCCCGCCTTAGATGCTTTTGGGGCCAATCCCTTTCTCTCAGCCCAACCCACCTCACAAGGTTGTTGTGGGGAAGATAGGAGGAGGAGGAGTATTGTGAGTATTGATAGGAGGAGGGGGGAGTATTGTGTATGTTAATCACCTTACTTATAAAAAAATAACAATAAAGGTGGAGAAAAAATAAAAATAAAAGTATGTCGGGAATTGACCGGCGCACGCAAACGATACGGGCGTTGTAAACTCCCCGGCTGATCTTGCCACAAACTGGTCTCAGTTCAAAACACAAATAAATGTCCTTTTCTCTTTCCTTCTGATCCAGTCGAGGAAAAGCCCCCTGTATCAGATGAAATCAGGAAACCGAATAGCTACGTTGATGGTCTACGTGAGTTTTCAGTCTCTTTATCTTCCCTTCTTCCTCGGACATCCAGGGCAGGATTGAACTCGGGTGGAGGGTGCAAGAGATAGCTGAACTGGCTCTGGGTTCAAGCCAAGCGCATACTCACCGAACCGGTTGTGCTCCCTCGCTGGAGGTGCGCTGTCCAGACAGTCTATGATTAGTGAGGAATTGGGAGCTGTCCCCTTAAGGGAATGCCTCATGGGAAATGTAGTTCAAGTCACGTAGGGTCTCCCGCTTGGGTGTGTGTGGGGTTGGACTAGATGATCTACAAGGTCCCTTCCAACTCCGATGATCTGTTCTCATGTGATCGCATCGGTCATCCTGATTGGTCACCGAATTGACCCTGGGTTGGGTTGGAGGAGTTTCCTTTCTTCTTGCTTGGATCCCAGCAGCGTGCTGGAGTCTCGCCGTTTGCACCATCATTATGGGATGAAGATCACTACACTTTCACACTATGAAGTCAACTAGGCAAAGATTTGGACGTTAGGTGGAACTCGACATAACTGGGAGTTATACCTTGAGGATGCCTTGTGATCCAATCAAGAAACTCTGTATGGAAACCTTGGTAGAGTTTACCTGACTGTCTATTTATATTCAGCTAGCAATTTAAAAACAGAACGGGAGATTTTCAAGAAAGGCTGGATGACCATTTGTCTGATGTCCACCTAGAGTACCGTTGAGCAGGGGGTCGGACTAGAAGACCTCCAGGGTCCCTTCCAGCCCTAGGAATCTAAGATTCTATCTCTCTTCCATCTTTTCTCTTGCCTTTTTTTTCTTTTTTGCTTAGCTGAGTTCGGTAGAAGCTGGAGGATCCACGGCCTTTATTTATGCAAACCTGAGTGTGCCGGTTATCAAGGTGAGCCCCGTCCGGTTTGCAATTCCCGTCCGGGCTGGTTTTCTTCTCGCGGGTCAAATCCTGACTTCGTCCTCCTCTTCCCTTTTTGGAATAGCCACCCCTTTCCCCCTCCAAAAAAACCAAGAAATATTGCAAAAATCGAAGGATGGACAAGGCTTGTAATGTTATTCTGGCCTCCCTAAATACAGGAGAAAGAATGCTGGATTGAAGATCAGCCCCTAAACTGGTCTTGATTTATGAGTGTCCTTGAGCCCGCACTTATGGCCGTGACGGTCATTTAAGTGGGTTATGGTGAGACCGTACCCAATTTTGCAAGCTGTTTTGTGGCAGTTGTTTTATTCACTCACATATTTATTCATTCATCCATTCCCTCACTTATTCATTCCCTCACTCGTTC